AAAAAAACATGGTGCTGCTGAGGCTCAAAGTAAGGTAAGTCCTCCCCCTGCTTCCCGGGTGCAGCAGGGCAGGGGGCGCAGAGCCTGTCGGCCGGACCTGGGTCTGAATCGCATCTGCACCGCGTGTGAGGTGGCCGGGGCCTCGCCTCACCTGTTTTTCCCTCTGCAAACTGGGATCGTGACAAAAGCTACTTTTGGGAGTCGCGGAGGGTAAATCAGGCGGTGGCGTTAAGCAGTCGGTGGAGCGAGGGCATCACACACAATCCTAGCTACCCGCCCGGCTGGTGCCACCTGGCTGCCTCCACTGCCCAGGCCACAGCGGGTGCGCCCCCACCCAGGGGAGACGGGCTGCAGGTGGAGTGGCAAGGAGCCCCCCTTAACTTCCCGGGACCCACCTAACTCATCAGAGCCCGCTTTGTTCGCCACGAGCACCGGGGCGTGAGAGGCGCTACCACGGTGTGGCCGGAAGGTGCCTGCCTCTCCCCATCCCCGCTCTCCATCCAGAGGCTCGTCCCTCCAGAGTCGGGATGGCGGGCACGCACGCACACAAGTTAAATGGACAAGCGCTTCCTTGAAATCCCAGCGTGAGGAGTGAGTCAGGGCGTGGGTGGCTGGCTGTGACACGCAGACACGTACCCAGGCGCGAGGCCTTCAAAGCCGCCGGTCTCCTGGCCGGCCCTGGCTTGCTCAGGGCATGTGCGCTGGGGCCGGCGGGGGCTGTGGGCTTGGCAGAGGCCGTGGGGGGACTCTCCGCGGTGAGGGGGGCCGGCCTGCTGGCGCCCGCGGCCGTGGCCGAGCTGGAGTTCCCCGGCACGGGTTCTATGGGGGGGATGGGCTTCCCCAGCTTGCTGTGCAGCTTGAAGACCTGGAACAGACCCAGGTCCCCCGTCAGGCCTTCTCTGGGCCCCCTTGGCCTTCCTGAAGAGACGGGAAGAACACCTAGGGGGTGTGCAGGGCTGGGAGCCTACGGAGGGGAGGGCACCGCTCCCACCCCAGTCCCCAGTGACACGCCCCGGGCTCTCCAGCCCCACTCCTTCTAGAAGCTCCTTCCTGCTTCCAGGCCCTACCAGTCCTGCGCAGGCAGGACCTATAACGCGTCAACACCCTGTGCTGCCTAGGCCCACCCCCCTCCAAATGGCACTGGCTCGGGCTGAAAGGGCCATTTTCTGCAACCCCAGCGCCAGCCCCGGGCCCGGCCCGGACGGGACACGGTGTGTGTGGCGAGATGTGTGGCCAGAGGCCACTGCTAAGATGTCCACGGACACTCCACCTTCCTCAGGGATGTGTGGACACATCCACGGACACAGATGCACCCGGGATCCGGTCACACCCCATCCTTGGCATCCCCCCCCCGTCAAACGTACTTACTGGGAGGACTACCACCTGCAACGTCCTCGCGCCAACTGCCTCTCCCTCCCTCAACTGCCACGTTCGCCCCGGGTCTGACGCTCACAGCTCAGACCCGCCCCTGCCCAGAGCTGGCCCTCCCGGACCCGCAGGACAGCCCACCCTTCCGGGGCCCCAGTTCTCCCGCCTGCACCCCTGCGCGGCCAGGCCTGGGCATCCCCTCCCCCCGCCTCCTCCACCCGCTTGCTTCCCCTCCTCCACGGGTCGCTCTTTCCTTTGAGGGGTTTGTGGGTTCCCTCACGCCTTTGAGAGCCTGCCCCGGCCGCGCTGGAGACGAGGCTCTTGAGGAGTGCAGGGGAGAGGACGGGTCCCGCGGCGGGGGGCGGGAGGAGGGCCAGCCGTGAGGGAGGGCACCTGGAGGAGGTTCCCTCCCAACCCTCCTGCTCGGTAACCACGCGGCCTGAAGCTGGTTCCCCAGGAACGTCCCCTCCCGCCCTCGGCACACGCCCCCTGTGACCAGAGTCACCTTGCAGGTTACCACCACCACCTGGGAAGGGGGCTGCTTTTCCAGAAGCTCGCTGTGCAGCACGGGAAGAGCAGACCCCCGGGGGAGAGGCAGGTGTGTCCCGACCTTCCCTCAGGTGGGGATCCCATCAAGTCTCTCCATAAGAGGACATACTATGTGCATTCTGAAGGCCGCACAAAAATGCTGATGTTAAGATAGGAATATGGGGCACCTGGGTGGCTCCATCGGTTAAGTGTCCAACTTTGGCTCAGGTCAACCTCTCAGGGTTTGTGAGTTCAAGCCCACATCTGCTGACAGCACAGAGCCTGCTTTGGACCCTCTGTCTCCCTCTCTCTCTGCTCCTCCCCTTCTCTCTCTCTCTCTCAAAAGTAAAATACAAAAAGCCATAAAATAAATAAAATAGGAATACATATTAAAAGCACTGATGTTAAGTAATTTCATATCACTTAAAACATTGCTATTAAAATTGACATTAAAACTTAGCATTTAAAAATTTTTTTTAACATTTATTTATTTTTGAGACAGAGAGAGACAAAGCATGAACAGGGGAGGGTCAGAGAGAGGGAGACACAGAATCTGAAACAGCTAAAACTTCGCATTTTAGGGGCACCTCTGTGGCTCAGTCAGCTAAGCGTCCACCTTCGGCTCAGGTCATGATCTCACAGCTCGTGAGTGCGAGCCCCGCGTCGGGCTCTGTGCTGACAGCTCGGAGCCTGGAGCCTGCTTGGGATTCTGTGTCTCCGTCTCTCTCTGCCCCCACACCCCCACTCGCACTCTCTCTATCTCTCTCTCCAAAATAAATAAACATGAAAGAAAACTTTTTTTAAACTTAGTGTTTTCATCATATTCGTTTAATTTGACCAGTTAATCTTTAAAAAGCAGAACTTCAAATGGAACACGTGGTTGATCCCCTCAACACACAAATGCTTATTTCCATAAACACGTACACACACCTACAGCCCAGAAGGTTCCCTCTGGGGTCCGGGTACGAGGCCCGGGCACTGCTCCATGCTGTCGTCCCACAGGCGGGGTGACTTTGATAGCAGGGAGCTATAAGCTCCTTGCCTTTGGCGGCCGCCCCCTCCAACCCCTCGGCCGTGGTGCCACCGGGCTGTCGCCTGGGAGGACTCCTACCTTCTGGTGCTTGGCCCCCCGGATGTGAGCGGCGTAGGCGTCTGCCCCAGTGCAGGACACGGCGCACAGGCCACAGCGCAGCTGTGTCTGCGCCCTGCTCGGGCTGCCGTCAGGCCGGGTGCCCATCTTCTGAGCCGCCTGTTTCTTCCTGTGCTTCTGCCCTTCCAGGTGCTCGACGTAGGTCTGCAGGCAGAGAGGGAGAGCGGCCTGAGGGGCGTGTGTGCGGTTCACTCGTGGGGGAGGCGGGGGCCTGTGGCCCCCCTCCCCGTCCACCGGCCACGAAGCCACTTTATTAAACCCCGTCAACAGGCTCAGAAGCTCAGGCTGAAAAACGTAAGGTTTCTTTTTCTTTCTCTTATCTGAAAATCAATAAGCAAGTGTCCTTGAAGAAACACACACGTGGTTTCAGAGGCTTCTCCGAAGGAAAACTCTGGCTGCGCAGCATCTGACCTCGGAAACCACTCAAGGACACACACGACCGAAGCAGCAAGGGCACGTTTCCTCGTTGGAGTGCGGCTACGAGGGGTCCACGCGAGGGAGGCTGCCAGGACTCACAGGCCTGAGCCCAAAGGATCTGGCAGCGTCCGGCAAGTGACCGGACTCCTCCCTGGGAATCCTGAGGACAAGGCCGGCCGCAGCGAACACCCCCAGAGTGGGCCCGCTAAACCAACGCGCTCTGACCATGCCAAGGGTCAGCATGCCCTGCAGGGAAGAGATCTCGGGGAAACCCACACGGGCTGGTTCGGGGGCAGGTGGGAAGCGGGGACAGGAGCAGGAGGGGACACTCTCCGGAACACAGGAAACCTGTGAGCATTTACCCAAGCAACAGCAGGTGCGCACGCACATGTGCACACGCGCGCGCACACACACACACACGGTGAAAGCCTTGGGGCAGAGAAGAGTCTAGAAGGACAGAGCCCACGGAGCTGCAGCAAGTATGGCAGCTCCGGCCTGCGATCCCCACGCACCACCCTAGTTAAGCCCCGCGGCTGCCCACAACCCGGGTCTGACCTCTAGCTCCATCGCCATGGCAAGTGCGAGCTCCTGCGTGCCCGGCCCCCCCTGAGCCCCTGGCCTTCCCCTGACACGGGGAGGCGGTGATGCTGCAGTGGAAGGATAGAACGGCCAGCAGAACACGCTGCAGAGCTCCGAGCTCAAAGCAACAGGACGCGTTTGCAGTGGCCGTGCGGCTACCGGACTCCTCGCCGTAAACGCGTGCGTCGTGTGCGAAGAGAGACAGGGAGACAAAGCAGGGAGGAGTGCTGGGAGAGGTCCCTGTGCCCCTGGCTGCACGGTCACCTGGGCCGCCCCAGGGGACAGAGGCTACGGACACGGACGCCCGGACAGGCACCAGTACTGCCCGGGCCGCGGGAGGCCAGCTGACGGAGCTCCGCACACAAGGTGATGGAGTGGCGGGCGGGGCGGGGAAGGGCCAACTCAGGAGCCCGACGTGGCTGCGGAGGCGGGAGCCGGCCCAGGTGACAAGGTCACACTGAACAAAATGCACGCGCACGTGCAGGTGAGGACAAGCACAAAGAGAGTGCCGTGGGGGCGCCCGGGGGGGCCCGGTCGGTTCAGCGTCCGACTCTTGATTTCGGCTCAGGTCACGATCTCACGGTCCTGGAGTTCGAGCCCCACGTCGGGCTCCGTGCTGACAGCGTGGAGCC